TACTTGTATCGGTCGTGATACTACTTGTATCGGTCGTGATACTACTTATATCAGTTGTAGTGATAATTGTATCCATTGTGGGGTTATTTGTATCCGATGTACCGCTACTTGTTGCGTCTAATACGTACTCTTCTGGAACGTTTTTGGTATTCGTAGCTGCTAGATATATACAAAACAGAATCGAAATCAATGATGTCAATGGAGTTTAGGTCTAGTGATATACCGCAAGGTCCATCAAATATGTTGAGTTCGGCGAAGGCATAATAAAAATTTGTGTTTCCATCGTTACGGTGTAGTTTAAACAAAATCTGAAGAGCAAAAAAACATTGCAGCTCATAGAAAGAAGTCGTAACAAATTTCAAGAGTTTTTCAGAAAAAAAACTTCGAGAAAAGTTTTTTTGGAGCACCATCGACTCGTAAAATATGCATTAAGTCTTTACAGATCATTATTGAAGTGAATCTGTTTCTACTATATGCTTTTTTTTAAGGCATTGACTTTGGCACTAGTTTATGCGGATAGAAAGTGTTCATTGACTGATATCACCAAAATGTTTTACTTACATGATAGGTACTTGATGATGGCCGACTATATGAATGTTGACAATGTTGCCATTTGCTATTGGGTGTTGCTATCAACTCTATAATTGGTTGTCTTGTTGAACCAATGTCCAACTCAACACCGATTTTGGCATTGTGTGAACTGTCAGTGATATAGTAATAAAAATCGAGACATTGCATACTATTTTCTCCTTTTTTCACTAATGCTGAATAAGTATGATCAAATGCACCAACACGAGGTGTTTTAACAAACGCATATGTCACTAAAAAAACAATTGTTCAATTCAAAGATAATTAGCATTTATCTCATATAGGTGTCTTTTGACTGAAAAGCTTAATAATTAGATTCATCATTTATTGCACAAATGTTAGGTATTGTCAAACACTTACGAATAGATGTATTATCAGTTAATGTCTGGGTAGGTATTTCGTCTTGAAGTGAACCAGTTGCATGAATTAGAGTTGGTGCATCTAATGTTTTCTTCAATAGACAATTACTTGATGTTTGTGTATCAAAATTACAATGGTAAAGTGATGTCAGACAGAAGCATGGGCAGAATGTAAAAAGTAAAACTAAACGAAAACCTTTGCAATAGATTGAATTCATACTATTACTTACTTATAATGCCTCCCAAAAGTTGCATGACTGTTTGAAAATTGTTTAAATATCTAAAAATTATGAAAAAGAGCAATCGTTATATATTGTCGTTGTACGATGCTTTGCAAGTTGAACGAGTCAGCTTGGTTTATCTAGAACAATTACGAGAACATATGAAGTACTGGTAGGTATGGCGCGTAAGTCACTATCAATCTCAATAGAACCTTTCCCATAAGATCTCATCAATTTGTCTTATATATTTATGGTAGATAAATTAAGCAAAAGTAACAAGAAAATAAGAACTTAACCTCAAACGAATTATTCATTTTCGAAATTCATATAAAAGTTCATATTGAGAAGCCTCTAAATCAGAAATTTCAGCTTATCTCGACATTTCTTTGAAAACAAGTTTACAGAGATACTTTTGCAAATATTTTAGGATAACTATTCAACTCACCTCAGTTTTTATATGCTTTTCCAAGGTAACTCTTGTAGGAAAATTCGATTTTGTCGGAGATAGTAACTTTTTCGTATTCTTTAAAAGATTTCTGGTAGAAGTCTTAGATATTTTAGTTACTCTTATTCTGACATACTGATATGTGAAAAACTGGATGAATTGAATATCATCAAAAATGATCTGAAAAGTATATTGTTTGCTTTTTAACAAGCATATCAAAATGAAATAAAGTCTTGGGTTTACTGGTTTCTCAATTTTGTCTTTCATCTAAATAACACTGTAGTTAGAATTGTTCAAAATGAAAGCGTACTTGCTCATTTCGACCGGAGCACTAGAAAAAAATAGTCAGATATTGGACACAGAAATATGATGTTTGGATTCAGCGGTTGACTTTACCATTATTGGAGAGATCTATCCAGATTCGAGTGCATCTGACCACTGAATGCAAGTGTTGTACTCCTGTATCCAAGATCAGACTAGTTTTCCAGCTCCAGCTTAGTATCAATATCATCAATCTTCTTTTTTTGCTGCTGTTCAATAAATTTAGTGTGCGAAACAACTATTTCAGAAATTTTTAAAACGAGAAATCGATGGACTTTCATGCAGCCTCTCCAAGTTTAATTCATTACACTCATCCGGAGAGATTGCCTTTTCAGCCTAGTCATGAATTCTAGAAATGGCACATAATAACAATAAAAAAAATGTCAGACGATAAGACACTTTAAATACCATAAAAATACAGCCCATGATCAATAACATTTGTTGTCTAAAAAAAATCCTCGTTATAAATCTTTTATGTTCTTTAGAAAACGAAACTTTACTGAAAACTAATGCTTTGCAAAGTATTTGAATTTTATTAAATTATCTATAGTTGAAATGTCTGTTTTTCAGAACGAATGAATTTGTTTGAGGCTGAATGCTTATTTTGTTTATAATTTTCCAAGATCTATCTATTCTGAATATATCAGCCGAATCAATGAGATCGTATGGACAAGGTTTCGTTAGAATTGGTTACTACTTACCTTTAATGTATCGTAGGTAGCTATAAACAAAAATACGATATTATAAAACTTGAATAAGATCTCAATGGTATTTTCATCGGACTTATAAACTTGTCATGAAAAGCTCGTAATCTATTGATTATTATCTTTCTAAATCTTTCTCTTTGATGTACAAAAATAATTTATATACAACGTAAGAAAGGTAGATGTTGATCATAACTTTCTATTAAGCTCGACGTAATATGACTTTTATGGCTGAATTACAATACTTTTCAAGCGTATTCTTTTTTTTACAAGTGTCATGTGTAGGTTGATATCTTTACACTAAAGATTTACTAGAGACCTTCAAAACCACAATCAAACATAAAAGCTACTTGTAGTTTTTCGTATGTACTGATATTTTGTTATAAAATTTAATAGTGGCGATGCATATCTTTAGGTTGTATTTTGATAGTATGCAGTTGAATTCATTACATTATGTAGCCTAACAACTAGATTAATACAGCTTTCACTTAGATTTGACTGTCTATAGGTAAAATTCATTTGAATAGATGCATCATTTATCAACACAAAGTATTTGAAAAGTATTCAATGTAAGAGAAACTTGAAGAACCAGTACTTAGATCAAAGTACATCATTTTCGGAAGGATGTTTTGTTTTTGAAAAATTGGAATATCTCCATTAAGTTGTTATTGAATTAAACAACTTGTATTATTCTTGATGAATAAAAACGTTTAATATTTGTGATATCAACTACCATTATTGATACGTTCAGAATCAATCATTGTAATCCATTATCGTCTAAAGATGCCTATTGTATGTATGTCTATTGCAAAGACATTTTTTAAGAACAATTCAAATATCATTATCGAAACAATAGCAAGATATTCATGTTAATTATTTTTTGTAAAAGAAGCTTATAGGCACTCTATGAATAGGAACCAAACATACCTATGGTAGCACTGCTGCTACGCCGCAAACTTGACGCTGGCAGCATCTTTTTTTTTTAAGTATATTGTAATAGTGTATGGGTTTGCATTCGATTTGACCGTCTAACAGTCTAACGGTCAGAGTTCTTGTGAATTTAATGGATTCGATTCATTTGTGTTAATTTAGCACAGTAACAGAGGACATTTTTGAATAACTTCTCGAGGAATTATTAGCATAGCGACAGGTTTTCAGCCATGATAGACATCTTTGACAGGGAGACTTACACGAAATAAGCAATATTTATGAATTCATCAAAGATACGTAACTATTGTCTCTACTTAATTATGGATGTGGGTGTAAACCACTGTCTTCTTTTCGCTTAAACACCTACACCCTATTATCAGAAGTTTTGCTTCAAGCTGTGCTGAATTGATCAAATGGAAGAAAAAAATAGAAAAATATTTAGTTTGGCATGACTTTTATTCAACTCATACAGTCTTTTATTATGTGTTTCAAAATTTAGTATACGGTCTTGTAAGTTGTCGTCCATTGCCTTATGTTCAAATATCAAAATTTATTACTACAACAGCAAAGAATAATAGCCTTAAATGATACAGTTTTATTTTGCCTTGAGATTATTTTTACAAGCATAGTATAAAAAGTCTTATGAATCAAGTAAGATATCTGAGAAATGCTCAAGAGCATCAATAAAGTCTTGCAGAGGAATGTGGGTGTTGAACTACTCTATCTTTCTATTAATAAATATTTCTGTTTGTGGTTGACATTAGTAATCGTAGATACAGGAAAGAAATAAAACACGATCATAAAAATCATATCTTCAGTAAGAGTATTTACTTTTGTTGAAGATAATATGCAAGCTTTCGATATATCTACTTATAGCATCATCAGACACTTTATGATACATGAAATGAAAATTACAATGACTCATTCAGCAAGTACAATACTTATTCGAAATATACACACATTCTTTCAATCACAGGTAATACTTGTTGAATGAATCATTGGATTTTTCTTTTCAAGTGTTACATTGTACAGTTTCGTCAGTTCTATTCAACATATATTAGGTTCATATGAGTAGAATAAATATCGTATGAACGAACTATTGACAATCTTATTTTTGAAGCTGATGATAGATGACAGATATTGTTGATGAAATTTGAAACCAAAACAAAATTTCAATGGATTTTTGATAGAGAGTGTGGATGTCAGTAAGAGAATAATGTACATTTACAATTCTCGACACATTCACAAACTCTTACACTCACGATTAGTATAATGGCAATTAATGAGAGAAACAAAAAAGAAAACAGATCGAAACCGTATCGAATATGAACTCACAAAAGTTAGAACTAATTTAGTTTCAGCAAATTAGCAGATTCGTTTTTAGATTGTTTTTCACTTTTTCGTCTTCTAAATTTTTTGACAAAAGTTTTATATCTTTGATTTTATTTATTAAATAAACTTCGCATATACATCCTAGCAGACTATTTTTAGTGTCCCTAACGACTGTTTCTTTTACGACGTTGATCAATTCCATGTTGGAAAATCATTTGATTGATATTGATTAAGGTTAGAGTTCACTAACTTTCAGAAAAATTAAATATTTCAAGTATCTTTTCAAAGTTTTTCATCTATTTCACTTTGTAAATAGCCTGCCGCAAGCATTGCTAAAATCGGTAACGCGAATGATGCTCCCGGAACACTTGCTCCCACGACAATTGCTCCCCGGACAATTGCTCTCCAGCGACAATTGCTCCCGCGACATTTGCTCTCGTGATATTTGCTCCCCAAGGACAGTTGCTCCCCAAGGACAATTGCTCTCCGAACACTTGCTCTCCTATGACAATTGCTCCCTGGATACTTGCTCCCTGATGACATTTGCTCTCCTATGACATTTGCTCCCCGAACACATGCTTTCCAATCACATTTGCTACCCGGACACATGCTTTCCAATCACATTTGCTTCCCGGTCCATGCTTTCCAATCACATTTGCTCCCCCACTTCACTTGGCCTTAAGCTACGGCTTTTTTGTTGACAAATTCAACATAATGGGCGTGGATGTGGGTGTGGGCGTGGCTAGGGTGTGGGATGTGGATATGGGTATGAGGTGGGTGTGGAGTGGGTGTGAGTGTGGGTTAGGGCCCTTCGGGTCCAAGATTTTTGAACCCGGACTCGGATCCGTTTACAATTTGCTACACCTGTACCCGGAACCGGACGCGCTTGTTTAAAAAATGTTGGACCCGGACCCAACCCGGAGGGTGTGGGTGTGGATGTGAGTAAAGGAAAGATCTATATTTACACCCACCCACACCCTTTTCCTATTTTATTTGTTCTATGCTCTTCATATATTTATAGATCCATACTACCACCTTTCGAAATTCCGATAAAACTGCAGTAAAATTAGCTATATATTTAAAATTAATTCGTGAATTTTCAGGAATCTTAAATTCTGCACGAATTTCTAATCATCTCATTCTTTTCTTAATTTTACCAATTGTTAAGTCTTTAAAAATTATATTGAATTTGTCAACAAAAAATCGTAGCTTAAGGCCAAGTAAAATTGGGGAGCAAATGTGATTGGAAAGCGTGTGTTCGGGGAGCAAATGTCATAGGAGATCAAATATCATAGGAGAGCAAATGTCATAGGAGAGCAAATGTCATCAGGGAGCAAGTATCCAGGGAGCAATTGTCATAGGAGAGCAAGTGTCCGGGGAGCAATTGTCCTTGGGGAGCAACTGTCCTTGGGGAGCAAATGTCGCGGGAGCAATTGTCGCTGGAGAGCAATTGTCCGGAGAGCAATTGTCGCGGGAGCAAGTGTCCGGGGAGCATCATTCATGGATTCGCTAAAATGATCTAATAGTGAAAGGTATTGCTAAATGAAGAATTGCGGAGACGATTCATACTTTCTACAGCTAAAAATTGGGAACAAATATGTTATTTGCTCGTTTGAAAAAAAGACTTTCTATATATATCATTAAACAAAAAAAATCATAATTCGATTAGATATCGAATTTTCTATCGAATGTGATAAACTTTCCTAAAGGAATACAAAGTATCTTGTTTTTTTCGATTATATCATCATGTCTTGGTGTCAGCTTGACATTTGACCTGTTGAAAAAAATTCATCATATACTCTCTTATTTCTTTAATCGCATGAAATTCTTCGAAAACTTATGAATATTAGTTCCTTTATTGATTCTATGCCACATTCCTATTATTCTTCTCAATTGAATTTGAAAAATCTTATTGCGATCTTATTTGTCGTTGTTACGTACGTTTTGATCAAACTCTTTCACTAACAGTTTTCCATAATAAAAATACAACTGATCACGTTCAACATTTTTTCTCATATTTTTTGTTGAATATTTTATTCAACTTGAACTGTAAAATGTTTACGACGAGGCGCAGTTTATTGCCATATTTCATACGCTCGATACCATGCAGTTCAGCTGCTGCTGTTGAAAATTTTCAGCAACAGATGAAATGCTCAACCAAAGAAGATCTAATTGACGTTCAACAACTGTTAATAATATTTTATTCTTCGTTCAATAGAGAATTTTTTCGTACTCTTATATTCTTGTGTCTATTGTTTGCGATACGTAATCAAATGAACCATAGGATCAAAAGATCCAAACATCTATTAAAGATGTGACGCGAGAATGAAGAAAAACTTTTGATTGGAGCAGGTAACAAAATATTCTTTCTGTTTCGGTCTCTGTGTTCAACATAAACAAATTACAACAGCTTCGTTTATTTTAAAAATTTTAAGAACTCAGATATAAAATTTCTTATCTACTCCAGAAAATTTTTCATTTGGATCGATTGAAATTTGAAAATAACTATATTTTTATCATGTTTTCTTTTGATAATTTATATCAAATAGATTTCGCTATAACAATGAACAATTGGAAATACATTTTGTTGAGTATGCATCATGTAAAATATTTAGAATGACAAACAACAGATCAACATGGTTTAATTAACTTTTTGAGTACGGGTGACCAGAATTCTAGTATTGAAATTTCACGATCTAAAAAAGCTTTTATAAATCTTACAGATTTATTATGAAACCATGTGGTTGGTTATTGATGTGAAAGATGACTTTGATATACAATACAAATTTTAGCTGTCAACCGACTAGTAGATGTTTTCATGATTTTGTTCTACAGAAAATTTCTAACATAAATGAATAATTGTAGAAGACAAAATATCTACCATTATTATAGAATTTTATCACGATTTATTTTCATATATAAATATAATTAATATTAAATGCTTTTAATTCTACTCTCTCATTGATTTTTTTAAAGTTATATATGTTGACATGCATATGTTACATTTCATCAAGGTTTTCTTTAGGAATATAATAGACCTTCTTGGAAAGAATAAAGTAGAGAGAAGAAACTCATTCATTAACGGTCAGCAACATTTGGTATATTATTTGCTTCAGTCATTCGACTAAACTCGTTGCTATTAATGTTGAAAATCTAATAGAACATCAATAATGATTTGTGTGATACTTGAGCCATCCTTCTCAAAAATATAAGCGTTAGACAACCTAAAATTATTTGTGAGGTTTATTCCATAGAATTAGTTTTTGCCTGAAAGAGCATCTTTGGATGCAGGGTATGACAGAGAGAAAGTTCGATGTTTTAAAAAATAACTCAAAAAATTTGGCTCTAATTATAACAATGCTCTTTGATATAATAGTAACCAAGCTTAATTGAAATAAAAACGGCTGTGTTGGCCTACATTCCAACATGGTCATTCAGAAGAAAAAACAAGCCATAGGTTACAATGAAACTCTTGCCAAAGCGCTGGAATATACAATCAAAAAAACATAAACAGAGAAAAAGCGAAAAAGATTTTCGACTGTTTCCAAAAAAAAAATCATATTTTTCAAGCAGAAAATGACGAAAAGTTTTGAAAAAAAACGCAAGGCTAAATAAAAAAAATCATCTCATGAAATATCAAGCCTTGAGCTATCTTCTAATTCATTTATTTCAATTTCCATGTTTTTCAAAAAAATTCACTGTTTTCAAGGTGAACTTGAGTAAAAAATATATCTATTGTAAAGTTATTCTTAATTCGTATGAAACCATTAAACACTTTAAGATATATAATTTATTTAGCTATAATGTTAATAGTACAGTTTATGGTTGCAGTAACCATCAGGCTGGTTCTCTAGATATCGTTGATGATAAGGTTCGGCCACGAAAAACTGCAGACCATCGGCGGGTTGTATTTGCGTAACAATTTTTCCTTTGATTTTACCACTAGCTTGTACTTCATCACGTACTTGTTCTGCAATCTTTTCTTGTTCTTTGGTATGAGTGAAGATAACAGAACGATATTGAGTGCCTCGATCATTTCCTTGTCGATTCAAAGTAGTTGGATCATGCATACGAAAGAAGAAGCGAACTAAGTCACTATATGCCAATTGGCTAGGTTCGTAAGATACTTGTAAGACTTCAGCATGATTCGTTGTACCAGTACAAACATCTTGGTAGGTAGCTTTGGAAGAACCACCCATATAACCAACGGCGAATGACTTTAAATAATCTCCAAATTGTTTGCGAAAAAATTTCTCTGTACCCCAAAAACAACCAGCACCAAATGTGGCTAATTCCAAACCGGCTTTACTTGCTGCTGCCATATTTTTTTGTTGTGTAACAAACGTTAGAAATAAACAGATTGTGAATAATGTTTTGCAACTAACAAAAGTACGCATCGAACACATTACATAAGCTTTCTTTTGCTTTCTTTCTTTCTTTTCTTTTTTGGCTATTCTTTCATATCATCTGTTTATCGTATGATAGAAGAAGAAAAACTAGGCAAAAAAAATCGACGACTTCTTACATTTTCTTTTTTTTTCTCTTTTTTGTGTTCTGTAAGCGCGAAGGTTAAGCGTTACATCACCACATGTTTTATGTCGTAGCACGTGAAAGAAACTAGAATTCTTCATTATGATTATATTTTAATTATATTTTGTATATATCAGAGTTATACAGAATGCTTTATCCATTGTTTTTAGTCACTCACCAGATTTATTTTCAAACTTCGCGCACAGAATAAGTAGACATGTTGCTTCGCTAATATTGTGCGTAAATAATAATTAAACTATCGAATAGATTGCATGTATGCTTGATATAATAAAATAAGCATGTGTGTTGAATAAAAATAGTATAATCTATTTATATATTGCAACTTATGAATTGCTTCTATTCGACTATGTTATTCACATATTATTTCATACATCTTTAATATGAAAACTAGATGAATACAAAACGTGTTATGATAAAGCATGAACTTCAAGCTTCGAAAAAACGATATATAATAAAAAACAAATAACATTTTCTACTATTTATCAGGGATGGTCATTCTCCTGAGAGCTGCAGTTAACTTTTCTTGTTGTCCTCATTTTAATTATCTCGAAGCTGCTTTAACTAACAAAAAAAAACGTCAGCAACTGTTCACTGAGAGATTGCTTTTACTGCTAACGATAATTTAAGATTCCTCAGATCGACACCAAGTCTCGCTACATGAAATTTCGAAAAAAATGATATATCTCGTAAAAAACGGATAATCGATTCACGGCTTAATGTATACTTTTTCTCAACATGTTACATGGCATATAGTTTTATTTCACTTTATTTAATTTATTTCAATTTATGGAAGTTTGATTTTCATGCAGCAATGTCACAACATGTTCACGATTAGATTTTTATAAAAAAAAAGGAAACATATTGGATCAAAAACTAGACTGATCGATCTATCTTGAAGAAAGACAAATGCAACCTGCTGTCCTAAAATTTTGTTCTTCAGCAATCGATCATCTTCTCGAAGTTAAATGAATGTGTTAGAATAACTAGTGATTGTATTTTGCACAAGATAATAATTAAGGCCGCCCTCAAAAATAGATCTCAGCCCAGGAACATCCAAATTAGATGAAACTTTCAGGATATGTTGGACCTGAAAACAGAAGACTACCGTAAAATTTTCAGCCCGAAATCTTAAGATTTCAGGGAGATATGAACCAAACAATGGTCAAAAAATGACTCTTTTGGCATCCTAAATTTTTCGATTCTGGTTCGTTCAATATATTAATATTTTTTTTTTGTTGGAAAGAGCATGTCAAGCTGAAGGGCATGATGGGGCTCTTTTTTTTTAAATAGTCCTATTTTAAGCTCAAAAAAAGGATCACAACTTCAATGACTGAAAAAAGTGTCAAAAAATGGTAACCAAATCATATAACTGGCTGTATATTGACTAAACAAAGGCTTAATTAAAAAAGGGCCTCATCATGCCCTGCATCTTGAGACGGTCTTTCAAACAAAAAAAAAAATATTGATGCATTGAAGGAACCAGGAAGGACAAATTTGGGATGCGCTTTTGAGAAAGCGGAAACCCAGAAAAAGCGAAAAACATTTTTTGATTTTTCAAAAAACAGCTGGTTTTTCGAATAGGAGTTGACGAAAATCTTGAAAATTTTTTGGGAAAAATAAAGTAGCGAGAAAAACAGATTATCGTTTATGAAAGAGCAGATGACGGGCTATCTTCCCATGTATTTATCTCAATTTCGGAATTTTTGACGCATATTGACTTTTTCTGAAGAGGGGGCGTTAAACAAGTGCGCAATTCAATTTGCCATCGCGTTTCGTGTTATTTATTAACATAAAAATACTCATCAGGGTCCTGCAGTTACAATTTTACGCACGAAAAAATAAAAATTAAAAAATACAAAAACTAATAGAGCAGGAATATAATAATATTGTCAAATTCAATTAAAGTTGCAACACGAATACGAACTATTGTTAATATTAATAATCAACATTTTCACGTAAAGAATCTACTACTCCTTCTTATTGCAAACTAATGTTTTACATTGTATCAAGAGAGTGTAGTTCATACCAAAAATTTGCAATTTGTGTCAAAAAATAATGCTCTTAAAGAAACATGCAAGCCAACATTTGTTATTACTTTATTTCGATGAACTAGCTCAAAAAAAAGAGTAGTGATGAAGCAATGATGTTCACAAAGAAAATGAATTACACTAGAGATGTGTTCACTTTATTGAAATGTTTTTCCAAGAACGTTTTTTAAGTCTTTTTCACTACACACAAATGTTGTTATTTGTAATCGAAGGCGGTGGAAAATTTAGACGATTCCATAAGAGTTTTGATACACTGGCTGTATAAACCTATCAATCGAATAGAATAAGAAATAAATGTTTGAGTCATCCTAGACAGTAATTCAATCTATGAAAGTCTCGTGGTTCACTGTCTATGTATCAATTCTGTAACTGATTTGATTGTAACGGCCTCTATCATATATTACTTTATTATTGCTTCCCTTAAATGACCAATCTAAAATTGTTATTAATCGACTGTTATTCCTAACCTTAAAATTATTTGTATGCCGAGTTTTTCAATTAAAAAAAAAATGAGCACTGTCACACGAGAAATAAATACAGCTGTCATACGAGTCTGTACATTCAATTTACGTTTTGCTAATATTGATAAAGGCACACCAAATGAATGGGAAAAACGAAGACCAATTCTAAAAGATTGTCTCAAAAAAATGCAACCAACAATAATCGGAACACAAGAAGGTTATCCACCACAACTTAACAATATTCTTGATGATTTAAATGAGTAAATTATGTCATAATTCATCATCTTAGAAAACGACGAATGTTATTTTTTTTTCGTAGATCTACAAAATGTTGGTCATGGATGGGTGAAGAACTTAATGAGTGGCATATAATTAATGCTATATTCTATCGTCATGATTTACTTTCACTTATTTCAACAAAAACATTTTGGTTCAATGAACATCCTTCAACAATTGGTTCCGCTTGGGGTGCAAAACATCCTCGTGGTTGTACACGTGCTCAATTTCAACATATAATAACCAAGAAACCATTCATTATCTACAATGTTCATCTAGATTGGCCATCTCAAAAAGCACGTCATTACTCAATACCTGTTCTATTATCACAAATAGAAGAAAATGGTGATCATGTTGATAAAGTTATTGTTACTGGAGATTTTAATAATTGGCCAGAAGAAGTTGAAAATGAAACACCTATTGATAAACTTATTCTATTAGGACAACAAGCATCTGAAATCGAACAAATGAAAAAAGCTGGTTTTGTTGATACATATCAGCATGGTGAAACACCAACGTTTAATGGTTTTCGATCGGTTGGTTATGGTCCAAAAATTGATTTTGTGTGGATTTCATCAAATAGCGTTTATCGTGTTAAAGGTGAAACAAAAGTTGATGAGTATCATGACGAAAATGGCTTTTTTCCATCTGATCATTTTCCTGTATATGCGGATCTGATACATACTGGATAGGTATTTTATTTATATGTTACATCGATTTTCAACATAGACATATTGTTTTATTAGATATTGAATATCTTTGTTTTTCTGAGTAAAAAGAAATTCCAACTTATCGAAATATCTGTAAAAATATTTGCCTCAAATAAATTGTTTTAAACTACAAGTACACAATGCAATCGAGAGGTGATAGTTGAATTTAGTTGAGCATTTTTTTTTATTAGAAAGATTTTTTTTTTGTTTTATTTTTATTTTGAACTCATCTTTTATGTGAAACATATGTTTATGCTATCTTTTTTATCAATTAAATGCGTTTTATAATAAAACTACTTTTCTAAGTATAATTTTTTCATTCAAACTTTGAATTAAAATAATAGCATTCAATTTAATGCCACCATCATTCTGAACTGAACTCATGTACAACTATTAGCCAACCTAACGAAAAAAGATGTCACAGTTTTTTTATCATAAAGGCGAGTTTTTTCATCATTAGATGTAAACAATATTGCGGAAGATTTTTCATAGTCTTATTGATCGCATGTTATATTAAGCTTCATTTGTCTAACAATAAGAACCTAGCTAATCAGTTCGATATTGAATGCATTTTCTAATAAGATTATTAAGACAATCTTATTATTTCCACAACTATATCGTAATAGATAGCAAAAGTAATTAGCAAAGAGAATAATTCTTTTTCTTTTACTCATACATCAACAATTGAACGAGTTATAGCCTTGTCGTTTCTACCATATCATGGTACAGATATCTGGCACGTATAAAGATGCAAAATAGTAGAAGATAAAGCCATAACTCGTTTAAATCTTGAGATAGGTACGAATCAGAAAAGAATTATTCTATTCGCTGATTGTATTTGCCATCGACTGCGAAATAATCGTGATAAAAATAATGTTATCTCAAGCATCATATTAGACATTGAACTAGTTAACTGAGTTTTTCTCGTCGAATGAAGGAAACTTAGGAAAATATCAACAATTGAAACAATAGTTCTCAATTTTTCAACAGAGCTAAGACTGATGCTTATGTAGTACTTGATGTGTGTCCTCAATAAGACTTTTGCGTCTTACATGAAAGACAAACCTGATAAAGTTATTTTGCTTGTCGTCCTTCACTGTGCAAAATGATATACAAAAGTCCTTTCAATCGATTGACAAGCAGAAGAAATACCGCAGATAGTAACTAAAATTCCAAGAACCAACAAGTACAAGTACTTGCTATAGTTGAACATAGTTTCTCGTTGAATGGGCCGCATATCAGACAAGTATATAGATGCATTTTGTAGCAGTTCAAAAACGAATAAAATCAAGCTATCGAGCTTGAAGTTATTCCAAAATGAGATAGGAGTTATAATCAAAATATTTGAGTTTGATGAAAATTATTCATCCTAGCTCAGCTAATGGCAGCATAACAACCAAGACAATGACCTAGAAAAAAATTTACTTCATGAATTTTCTTCGTTCATTTCACTGTCAATAAAACAGAATGTGTCTACTAAATGTGTATGTTAATTTTAGCGGAGGTATGTTTTTACATTAATAACAGCCTGAAGATGTCAACATCGTTGAAAAAACATGACGTAAAATAAATTGAACAATACGAAAAGAAATTACAGATATTGCCTCAATTCAATAACGTTCTAAGTCTCAAGTTATTATTAACAGTTTTTGTATTTGATAGAGATAAACAACTTCATTATGAACTATTCTCATATCGTTCAAGCCGAACTTGATGCAAGTGAGCTCGTACTGTGTTTGTGGATCTTGTCATCTACACCATCGTATAAAACGTGTATGTTTACTATAATTCACCATAGTACACTTCGATCAGTTCTTTGTCTCTAGAAAAAGAAAAGATTTTCACTCTACGGTATCACAAAATGATTCATACATGTCGAATATCGTGCATCTATGAAGCTTTTTATTTGAAAAGGGCTGAATTATACCGAAGTCACTAATCAGTCTGACATGGACAGAACAATGGATGAGATTCGCGTCTTGATTATTTTTCAGTTGTTCACTAATCGCGCTACTATTCAACTGTTTTTGAATAAAAAGCTTTATGAGTGCTCGATTTTCGACTTGTCTGAAACATTCTCAAACATGGTAGTGAAAATCTTTTCTTCAATTGGAAAGAATGAAGTGATCAATGCACAACAAAGTAAATCCTGGTAAAATGCATGCTCCGCAGGATGGTATATGTGAAACAGTCCAAGAACATAGTACTGAATCAGTTGCGCGAACTTTTCGGACAATCTGATAGTTAATGCACTCCTTCGTAAGTTTTTTTTTCCATTTCTTCTATCTCGACGTATGCATCAAGAGGGTATGGGTGTGTGAACGAGGGTGTAGGTGAATGTGGGTGTGAATCTTCTCTTAGCCCACACCCACATCATACACCGGCACTCACCCACACCTAGGGATGCACCAATTTCCATTCTGGGCTTGAAATTGTCGGAATTGGAATAGGTTGGAATCGGTCAGACGTGGAATTGGCCAGAATTGGAGTTGATCAGAATTGGTTTTTGTAAAATCACTGATTTCGACAAATTATCGATCCATTACCAATTTTTCGGACCAATTTCAATTCCGACCAGTTCCAATTCCAACGAATTTCGACAATTCTAAGAATTGAAATTGGTCGGAACTGGAATTGTTCCATCCCTACTCGCAGCCACAGTTATATACTTTTGAACGTATTTGATCAAAATATAAAAAAGACATATTTAGACTAATATGAAATTGAAAGTTACTCAAAATAGCAATGGTTATGCTTTGATCTGTTGAGTAACTCTCATGAGCAATAAGCCAGACGATAAACATTTTATTGTTGAACTCGAAATGATTACAATGCATGAGTTTGATAAACATTATCAAAGAAGTATCAAAGGGTAACACTAGTTACACTACCTAATATCATAATTATTATCAGCTGCATCAGGATTTTTGGTCAGAAGAGAAGAGAATATTATAGTGCCGCTACTAATAATCATAGAAGATGTAAACTTCTTAGTTAAGAGAAACCTATCTTTTTCTTCCAGATAGTCAATTTGCAGCGATAGAAGATAGATATATTTTACATGACATGTGTATTTTTTCCCATCAGAGTAGGCAATTCATTAAAATAGAAACATACATAACATAGTTCCGCTGTGACTGTATTTTTCGTCCTTTAATATTCTTGATTTTAGGATTGAGAGGTATTTTTTAACATATATTCTTTCTTTGTTATTGAAATGTTGATACGTGAGAATAGAACAGAGAGACAATGGGAATTTTGACTGATCATGTTTTTTATTCAGTCTGTTCATACCAAGAGAAAATAGATGTTGCTTGTTTTCAAAAAATGTAATTTTTATCAGCTTGATACAGATTTATTGCTTAACAAAATTGTTTTTTTCTGACACTCAATTGATAGAAATAAAACAAATATACCACTTATGTAAAACTATCCACTATAGTTTTTCTTCGATCAAGTATGCATTTGTTAACACAGAGATATTACTCTTCAGTAATAATACCTGTAACGGTAGAAGGTATACCCTCTTTATTTTGTATGTATGTATATATATCTGCATTTTTTTCCCATTAAGTCCTCAATACTTGGCATCAGTAACGTATCTCGTATTTAGTACATATGAGCTTTGTCTTACATAAAGTACTCAACTCATAGCAGTAGAAAGATATATGCTTCTTGTTTTATATAGTATATTTGATTTCATCTAATATTCAGCTATAGGTATAAAGAGACATTCAGATAGCACTATACTGTATAGTCGTTATTGTTAATGAGTAGTTCGTTCATAAAGTAGAAAGAGATATTCCTTATCCAATAGAAATTAGTTAGATGATATTAAATCTTCAGTTTTAAATGAGTCTGAAATCGATTTTTTTTTTTGTCATTTTTTTTTCTTTAATATTGACATGAGAATTAGTGTAGTATACTAAACATTACCCATGTCGTTCGAACCGGTCAAAAACCGCCGGTTAACCGCGCGCATAACCGTTCGGTTTACTGCGGCTAACCGAAAATGTTTCGGTCAACCGAGGGTTAATTTCGGTTAACCAGCAGTAACTACGGTCAAACGACAATTCTTTAACAGCATCCCTCATTCCTTCTCTCACTCCGTCAGTATGACAGATCTAATTCATCTAATAAATTTATACTTACATTTGACTCAATTGTTGGACTAATTCTAAAGAATACAAGGAAATAGTGTATTTATTTACAAATTTTGACTTACCTTTCAATGAACTATGGGATGAAATCTAAATAAAAAATAATAATTTTGTTTGTTAAAAACTTATACTTACCATTGAATTAACTATTGAACCAAATCTACATATTAAGAAAAAAATTTATAAATTTATATTTACTTTTAAATAAGTTGTTGAATCGAAGCTAAATAAAAAAAATATCTTTTATAAATAGATACTTACTGACCATTTTGACATTGAGACACATCTAAATAAAAGAGAAAAATATAATTTTTTTAAATAAACACTTATTTTTCCTTTGGATATTGAGATCGATCTGAATAAAGGAGAAAGAGAATAGCTTGTATAAAATAATACTTATTATTCATTTGGACGTCGAGATTAATCTAAACGAGACGAAAGAAAAAAAATTATGCAGAATGACACTTACGGTGCATTCAACGTTGAGGTGAACCTAAATAAAAGAAAAAAAATTATGAATACTTACAGTTATGTATATAATATTTTTTAATAATTAATGCAAATTATATAAAACGCTCGGTTGCCCTCACTTAACCAACGGTTTGCATTTTAACCGTCGGTTAACCGCAGTTAACCGATGGTTCGATTTTGACCGCCAGCTAACCACGGTTAACCGACGATTTTAGTGGAAACCATCGGTTACCGGCGGTTTTGCCAAAAAAAAGACGACATAGGTAGATTAGATTTAATACTAATATTTCGATTATATAATTACTTTGCTATTTGTCGAGTTTTATCTCTTATTTTTAGATTATATAAATT